GATTGATAAGAAAAAATCAAAAACCACTAATAAACATCAATAAGAATGATCAGCGAGCTTCGCTTTACCACATTATTACTAATTCGTGCGGTTACCGAACCGTCAAAATTTATCAATGATTATCTCAAAAAACATTACCGATTCTCTGGTGTCCCTTCCCTCCAGTGATCATAGCAATATTCAGAACAAAGATGGTATGGGTTGTATTTATTGGGACATCCAGGTGCTCCAGAAGAATTTGCTTCATTAGCTTTCTTCTCCTTTGCATCAGCGGAATCGTAACTCTCAGCAATAACCTCTTCATTTGCTGCAATGGCGATAACAAATTAGGTTGGTAATACAACTAAAAAAGTGGCATACCTGCTCTTACAATTCCACGTTTTTGAAGACGAGCGAGCAGAGCTGGTGGCAAGGAGCCCATCCTACGGCAAAGAAAGTTCCCATCAAAACCAAAAGAAAAGAAAGAAAAAAATGGAGCATAAAGTGCCACTGTTAAAGAGAAATGACCAGGTTTTCATACGTTTTCGCCTTCAAAAGTTATCATATAAAAATCAAATCGACACCGCAACGGATCCGAGCGTAGAAAATGCGCCATCTGTGTACATGCACAATACTGTGCGAATTCACGCATAGAAAAAGATTTTCGGGAGTGCATATTATACATTGGACCGAAAGAATAATTACTCGACCATTCGAACGTGATATTTGAATGCATGGAAAATTTGGGCTCAAATTCGCAGGGCGGGGGAACAGGTTCCTGTGCAAAGTCTCTACGCAATGTTTTTTAGATTATTCCATTAAAAAAGAAGAGATTCATCAAAGATATTAAAAAGGATCTTTAAGCCTATTTGCAGATCATTTGCCGAATAAGGGACAAAGAACGAATAATGATGATAAATATAAACATCAAGTACTATTTGTATCATTTGACATTTAGGTCATGTTTCTTGAAATGAAATTGCGCTCTTGTAGCTGTCGTCAGTTGCGAGAGTATAGTCTAAAAAGAGGAGACTTTCCTCTTTCTAATGATATATGAACGTCTTTTGATGTTGTTACGGTACTTGAATATCGCAGTAGAAAAATATTCGTTCACTCTCGCAAGGTTAAATAAAATATTTCCCCTAACAAATTATGTGAGCGGGTGTTGAGACTATTGGGCGAAGGGTGGACCCGTATAAGAAGCAATGAGAAATGTAAAACACAAGTGATTAGTGGTTCAGTATTTATTGTTAATACTATACCGAGAACAACGAGTATGGCCTTAGGTGGTCCAAGCGTGTAGAAGAGTGAAGAGGGACCTCCTAATCGGCATGCGGTAGGCAAAGCGCGCCCCCTCACAAGGGGTCAAATACG